AAAAAAAAAAAAAAAATTAAAGTCGAACTACTTTTTCAGAGCGGAAGGCAAAGTCTCATATACCAAAAATAGTAAATTCCTTTGTAAATGAACTGAACTGGAATTTTAGGAAAATAAGCTTTTCAGGCAAAAGCATGACAGCCTTTGTACAGCGTTTGTAATTCTGAGAAAGCGAAACTCGAGTGAAGTGAGAGGGAGGGATTCTTTTTCAAAGTTTTTGAAATCTGAGTCCGAACTTTATTAAACAGTATACTTTAAAAAGATTTTGAGACATCAAGTGAAAAAAGTATGCAAATTGGTAAAAAGAATGAGTGAGCCGTTTTTGATTAAAGTGATTATCTGTTTAGCTAGTTTCTTCTGATTTTTTTCAATCTTTGCTGCGAGATAGTTTCTGTGTTCGGAAGCATGGATTTTTTACTTTTGCGATGTTGAAATTTCAAGTCGCTATCTTGGATTATTGTAAGTAGAGGAAGCTCGTGTTGAAATAATTCAGGCAGTCGCGCTACTGGTCTGAATGCACTTTTCTGGAAACTCGTTTTATTTTGTTTTGAAATTGCCTATTTAGGCGTTCTTTTATCTCTTTCAAATTCCGTGATAAGCCCTACTGACCAGCAAAATTTGAGGGAAATCTGAGGTATAGGTAAAAAAAATATGCATTTTGATCTTTAACAGACTGCTTATATTTAATCCTTTTGTAAGGTATTTTTTTGACATTCCCTCCTGTCTTGTCATTGCGGATTTTTGTTATGTGCAACCCATATTTGATTCTTTGCCGATTTTTTCTCACTACAGATTGAATGCTCACCTTTGGTAGAGGCTGTCAATACAATGCGAAAAAGTAATGATGAATTAGATGGGATGGCAAATATCGTTTTATTAGCCCCAGTGCAGTCAGCAGATCCACTCGGCGGAATGATTCGTGGTATTGTTCAACCATTTGTGCAAGGAGGAATAAAAAACTATGAGGTGTGTTTTACTGTTGTTTTAGTCTTTATTTAAAATTATATTACCAAAAAATGTCATATTTTACGCTAAAATTAGTCCGGAATCACTTGCATCTGCTACTGTTTAAGTTGATTGTATTAGTTCATTTATCCAAACAAGTCCATGAGATAATTGTGAAATTTTTATCTCGCTGTTTTAGGTGTTCTTTACAGAAGAATGTGAAGCAGTATTGAACGACGAGGAGAAAGAACTGGTTGAACAACTGAAAGAATTAATTAGGCAACAAGTATTTACTTGATTTCAACTAATAAATATTTTCATATTTTATTTATATTCTGCTATTTTTTAGGTACAAATACTTGAGTATGCTTTACATGTATATGGTATTCGTGGTCAGGAGGTGGATCGCAACTTCTACGAGTCTCTTTTAACTTCTTTCCAAGAACATAAGCGCGTTATTGAGGAACATCTTGGACCTGTTGTTAGTCCTTCAATACAATGCTGCAAAAACAGTTTTTAAATACTTTTCTTGCTGGCAAATGTTGTAAGAAAATTTTTTTACACTGCATTTTTTTTAATCTGTTATAATGATTAATTTTAGCCGTCTAGACTCATCCCGAGTTATGCTCTGAATTTGCCTTCTACAAATATCGATAGAAGAGTCAACAATTTGGGAACAATAAGGTCAGCTTCTGAAGCTACTACTGCAAAAACTTGTAAATTGCAAAAAAATTGCAAAACAAAAATTTTTGCATGAAGACGCATTTGTTTTTTGAACTTTATTTTTTTAAAAATAAGCGGGCACATGTTTTAGAATTTTTTTACATCTCTTTTTTAATGCACATTCTTTAGCAGCCAATCTGTTTCAAGTATCACGGGAGTTTTTAAACGTGGAGGTCAGTATACAACAAAAACTGGGAGGGCGACTCCAAGAAAATCGGGTGGCTTTAAGGCGGATTTGAAAAATGTGATCGAAAACAGGTTTCATTATCTCAGTTTTTAGCAGATTTGTTTTGTACACTAACACGCTGCTTCGCCTTTTTAGGGCATGTAAAATATTCATTCGATCCTATTTGAATGTTATTGCAGTTTCACAAAAAGGATTTCCACAGCATCAGACAGGAGCATAGATAGCATGCTCTCTGTGGAGCTCAGTCAGCTCTCTCAGCGATCGCCGTTAGATTTTCAACGTATGGATAGTTTAGTACGTACTCCGTCGTCCCCTGTAGTTGACTCCTCAGAATTCAAATTTTTAAGGCACAAAAAGTAAGTTTTTTGTTCATATCTTTATTTAAAAAAGGAAGCAATTATGAGTTTGTCTTACGGCGCTACGAAGTAAAACCATGTGGTGTGATTAGTCGCTTTGAAACTGTTTTTTTCTGACTTATAAGGCTATACGTTTCACTTGGGTGAGATCGAGTTCGTAGTTTTTTAAAGTATTGTTGCAGAATTGATTTTTAATTCTCTGTCTGACGGTTGAGGAAGTGGGCGTGGGAGGAAGAAATGAATTTGCTAATTTGCTTCCTTTCCCAAGATGACTGGTATACGGTAATGTTGTGGACTTTTTACAGATATCTTTCTCGATTTTATAACATTCTTTCTTTCAAGATCTTTTCAACAACCGTGCCCACCACCTCTTCCTCCACGAGCATCGTAATTAAAAGAAAATAGGGTGACGGTAGTGGAACATTCAGAAGGGCATTGACGTAAATCAGATTTCTAAATTTTATCGTGTTGTGAACCAATGTTAGATTCTCATCAGGTCTGCTTATATATTTGCCAAGTCATTTCTGCTAGGATCGTTATGAATGATATTTTTATTGTAATTTTTGATGTAAATGAAATTTCAGGTTTTTGCCTTTAAGTTGTGATGTCTTATTTATAGTGTCACTTGCCCTTGTTGCCTTTTCAATGCTTAGGTCTGAATAGCCTCTGTTAATAATCATTTTACTTAATCGGGTTCCTGCGTATGTTGAGCTACTTTTTCCATCTTGGTTCCTGTACATATTGTTTCTTAGTTTTTCTGCTTTTAGTGCAATTTTTGTCTCAAGATTTTGCCATTGGCTTTGCTTTGCTCGAAAGTTTTGTCCTCATTTTTTATTAATCTTTTATTCTTTGATGAAAATTTGTTTACTGAAAGTATATTAGTTAATTCCTTAACACTTTTAGTCATTATATGCTTTGGTTTTTTCTTTGCAAGAAACCTGACCCATTAAATCTGATTCATAATTGAACTAATTTATCACAACAGGGGATGAAGGTGAACGAACTTTTTCAAATAAGTGTGGAAGGCAAATGTTGTCCCGTACAAGCTTCTTTGTAATGTAAACTTTTAGTTACCTCCGCATACTGACCATTCGATTCGCAGGGCAGGTTTTGGGTGGTGATTCTATATTAATACCATATAAGAATCTGTGGATCATTGGGTGTGTAGCTTTAGTTGTTTACTATTGGAAGCGTCACCGTCAACGCGGCACTGTGCTGCTCTTTAGGGGGAGCATTTTGAAGCATTAAGATTGGTAGCTATTTCTTTTAGTCGCTTTTAACATCAGCTTCGGTTCAGACAGGACGCTGATGGCTGACCTATACTCTCTTGTGTCAGCGTTGAGGGTGCATTGGAAAAGTTCTGAGGAAATTTAAGAGACATGATAACTCAGCATACAGCGCATATTCCAAAGCTGGCCACCTCTCGCAAATTGTAAGTCGGTCGTTGTGGCGTGACATAGATAATGGTAGTCAGTGGATCGGAAGTCCTCTGTGGTCAAACCAGCAGAGTAACGGCACTGCCTTTACTGCAAGGCCTTCTTTCTGTCCCATTTGTCTTCCTTTACTTATTTACACTTTTCTTTTATAGAGGAGGGGCAGACGTTCTGACAATGTACTGCTGTACCGCCATGTTATTTCGCTTTTTTTTTTTTCTACAATTTTGTTTCGGTGATGTGATTTTGTGCACTTTATTCCAGCTTCATTTCAATAAACTTAGTTTACCAGATGCTTACACTGTACATAACACATCTTTTCTATGAATGCGAGCCTTCTGAACGCTGATTAAGTTCTTGCAACTTACAAGTGGTCAATATACGGAAGTCTTAGTATATTGCCATATTTTCATTTTATATTTGTGTTATATGTAAATTCTGTACAACACAACCAGTCCCTGAACGGCAGCGCCTCGTAGTTTACTTTAAACTACAGCATTGTAAAGGACGTAAGAAAGTTGTAAAGGAAACCTGAAGTAACTGTGATAACTTTAGCACAAAAGTTAACCAGAAAAACTAGTAAAAAAGACTCAACTAGCGCTGCTGCGGAATATTACATCGGCTGGATGATAAATGCGCGGGGGTTGATCGTCGGTGCACGGCCACCGCTGATTATTGACATTGGATGGTTGCCAGGTGGTTGACTCATTCAGATTTATATTACGTCTTATTGCAGATGTGACACCTTCTCGAACGCTGGTGCTTGTGACAGACAAACAAGGTAGATACTGGTTGCTCGGGACAGGTTGAAAAACTGATGTTATTCTTATTCCTTGAGATACCCAATGCTTGAATATTTTAATGATTTGGATTTCTAGCGCAATCGCAGTGTGCACCTGTCTTGCTCCTGCGAGCCATCAGTATTTAGGTTACTTTCAGTAAGAAACGTACTCTGAAGCTCTGTCGTATTCCACAGCTTAAATTTCACTTTTTTCTGCAAAAGTACTTGTTTGGGAATTACTTTTCTGTCCGAAGTTCTTTCATGTCACTAATCTTTTTGAACCAGCCTCAACTGGGTGTAAAATGTGTAACGTACATTTTATGACATGTATGGAATATTTAATGAATTTTTTTTTTCGTTTTCACCGATGTCAAGTCTCCTTTCTTGTGCTCCTCGTATACTGCCTTTGACGTTAGTTACTTTAGTCTTTGAATGATCACATGTTTTAATGGTATCATTAAATTTTACCTTTTTTTTTCGAGCACGCCGATCGCATGCTTCAAGTTAGATCGGATCGGTTGGTGCACCACTGGTTGGTTGTAATGTTGATGTATGCTTTTTTAAAGATTGTTTAGAGTTCCATGGCATCGCGTAGTGGGGGACGTTTTGAAAAAAGCCGTTCATGGAGATCTTACAGAGCACTTCCTCCCCCTTCACCATCTGGTCTACCGTACAATGCGGACGGAACGTTAGTTAATAAATTAATCACTTTTTTTGCTTAGTTTTATTGGTTTCCTCTTCTTAAATGTATGAAGAGCATAAAATTGCTACATTTTATAAGCTTGTTTTAACATTAATTTGGGTGGACTAGATTGAGACTACAAATGGACATCTCTTCTCCTGTTTACAGTTGCTCTGTTTATTATTACTATTATTATTGTTTTTATTTTTATTTTTTACTTTTATTATTATTTCTGTATTTATTTCATGTTATTGTTAAGGCTGAAAAGTTGCAGTGTTCTTCTGAAGCGATGATCGAAAAAGAGAAAGGAAAATTATTTTCTTTTATTTCAGATCTCCATCGTATGAAAGTTGTGCGTCATGGGTTAAGTATGGTATTTATGCGTGCAACATTGTTTTCCTTGTTAGTTCATTTAAAAATATCTTTTCAGCTGAGTAGTTTGAAACCTTTTTGGGTCATTTGAAGTGGAAGGTGTCTTTCTGACTTTTAACGTTTAGAAAGAGAGATTCAACAGATTTTTACTTTCTCAGTTCTCGCCGAAAGTTATCTGTTTTTCTTTTATGTTGATTCAGTACTAAATATATGCGTGTACTTAGCTGGTTGGGATACTAACTCTCGCTGTTGGGGCGTGGTTAAGGACGGACTCTCGATTTCGTGAATTTTTGTCGGAGCGTTATCGCAATGTTGTCGAGGAAGCTTTTTGGCAGGTCATCTTTCTCGTGTTTTTTTCGCGAAACAATATTTTGAGCAGTTTTGGCAATGAAACTTTTCATTTTTTTGTACTGGTTGATCTAAAAAAAAATTTGAATTTTTTTACAACTTTTTAGGCTCCGACACTGTATATATTCTCATATATAACTATTGTTCTTGGTGCGTCTATGGTTGTAATTAGCATTTTTGGTTGTTGTGGCGCTATTGTACAGTCTAGAGCATTGCTTTTGATATATTCAGTTATCGTCGGAATTTTGTCACTTTGTACTTTGTCTGCGGGAATTTACGTTATGTACAAAAGAGATGGGGTAAATTTTGTCTATTGGATGGATTTTCACTGACGAGGTTTTTTCAAAAGTTTTTTCTATGAACTCATTGATGGGGATTTGGAAAGTCTCCGGAGATAATTAAGCTATCCAGCTCAGTTCTTACCTGGACTTTGTAAAATATCTCACTGTTTTAATTTTTCATTCCTACTCCAAAATTTATTTTAGATTGATGTTGAAGTATCTGACGCTTTAAATTACATGGTGCAGCACTATTATCAAGGTGCAGGAGTCATTCAGGAGAGTTTAGATAGGTTACAACAAACATTCCGATGTTGTGGTAAGTGTAATATCTTCAAACCTTTAGTTTAAAACTAACCAGTTAGTGGTGGGCTTTAAGTTTCGTACTTTTTAAGTGTATAAGTCTTCCAACTTATTCCCATTTTAGGAAATGCAGGATGTAGTGATTTTAAAGTTTTTCGCCAGGACCCCCCTCGTACCTGTGATATCCGTTGTGATGGTTGCCACTACAGGATTATGCTTGCGCTTAGAATTGGTTTTTCTGTGTCTTTTATTGTCTTTTCACTCGTAGTTCTACTCCAGGTATCGCTTCCTTTACTTAATTTAATTTCTTAGTTCACAATACTTTAAGAGTTTTCTCGCTGCACTTTAGGCTTCATATTGAAGGGGCATTACTTCGGTATTAAATTTACTGATTCCGATATTTAAAAAAATTTCTGTTTTATTACTTTTCAGCTCCTTGTTGTCGCTTTGGCCTTAGTAACTGTTTTCCGGATAAGAGAGAAATATGTTTTTCGCACAGATAAACGACGGCATTCCAATTGGCCTAGATTATCAGATGGAGCACGACATGGACGGCAAATGTCGATGAAACCCAGTCATAACAATTACACTAAAGATTTTTTTTACAGAAATTGCTATGATCCAGAATTTTATTCTAGACAAAGATATTAAGTTGAAATAGTTAATTTTATTATTTTACTTAAACTACTTTCTATTTTGACAGTTTTCTTTCAGAACCTTCTCATTTCAATTTATCGAGATTAAATTAACATCACAACAACGTTGTAGTTAGTAGCGTTTTGTTGTATAATACATTAGATATCAAAGCACGTATACTTGCTAGATGCAGATAGGTTTATGGCGGATATAACAGTTTAAGGGTAGTGATGGTAGACAAGAAAGGAAAAAATGAGCGAGCATCAAGTAAATTTTGAAAGGGCTAAAATTTATTGTTCTCGCACTTTGTATACAGAAATTAAATGCTTTTTTTCTCTGTATTTTGGGTAAATTTATTAAATAAGGCCAAAGTTAGCTTTAAGGTGAGTAAGTGGGTGGAATAGTAGAGGTAAAAAATTTTTCTCAAAGAATAGGTGGTTTACGTCCTGCGATTTTCAGTGCTCACAAAGCTTGTTGCTTATTTTGTATATTTTCTTTTTGAAAAACTTTTGACAGCTTAGCATACTGGAAAGTTTAAAATAAGAAATTTATATTGCAAAGGTTTTTTTAAAGTTTTTTAGTTTATATTCAGTGTGCTGATCATTTTCTTGATATCATGACATTCGATCTTTCATTTTTTCTGGGCTTTAATGTTTATTGTGCCTACAAAGATTGCCTTCACTTAAAAGTGGTATGACATTGCAGTTAATTGCGTATTTGCCTGTAGGTCCTTTTTATGATTTTTTTGACTTGTTTAAATGCTTTAGACATTGATTTGATACTCTTGCTACACTTCTTAAGCATCTAATAATTCTTTAACGGTTGTTGCTATTTTAGACTCGAGTTTATTGTTAGTTGTCAGAGACATCTTATCGGACAGTTTGCGCTTTTATATATTGCATATCATCCTGAAAATCATCATCATTGCTATCTATGTCCAAATTCTGTTTGTATATATTGCTGTATTACTATTACCATTTTTTAAAATTTAGGATTCATTGTTGTTGTGCTTACCTTGTTTGAAATGGACCAAACCTTGAGTGAAAAGTCGTTATTAAAATTATAAACGTTACAAGCGATCATTACTGTTACGCCTGGTTCGCATCCATACTTGTATCTCAGATTATTGCTGGAAAATACTACCATTTAATTTAGCGATGAGGAGGAGGGCCGTAAAGTAGACCAAGAAGATGCATTTTTGTTCATTTCTTCTCTAGTGACGTTAATAGGTCAGTATAGAGAACGGAGCTGGGGTCCCACTGTGACATTGCCGCTAGTGTACCGGGAGAGGAGGGATTATTGGTCTTTAATCCTTTCTTTTGTCGGATTTCGAAGCTCTTCTGACCGGCGATTTGGAGGTTTTTAAGTGATGGAGAGCCGGCAACTGTATTGGATAGATTGTTAAATTGTTTAATTTGCAACTAGATTTGGAAGTACTTTGCTAAGGTAAAAAGCAGATAGGCTTCCAAGAGGAAAAGGTCGTGTAATGGACTACTATTCGTGTTTGCCAAGGAAGTGCGTGACATTTGCTTTTTCTCAGCTTTAATTTTTATTAGTGCTCGGCGCAGTTCACAGCTATTTTAAATGCGCTCTCATAATTCTCTTCTATTTTTTTTTTCTTTTTTTCTCTTTATCGTTGATAATTATTGGTTGAGATTTAACTTTTGGTTCTTGCATCTCGTGTTATGAATTTTGATGAGGGTTTCTTTGAACTTTACTGTTTGACTTTAATGGATGAAAGCATAGCGTTGAAAGCGAGATTTAAACTTTTAAACGATTCTTCTCTGGTTTTTGCCTGACTTTGCAGAAAACCTGGGCGTTTGGTTTTGCTTTTTAGGATTGGGTCTAAATAGAATAACTTTACAACTTTTTACAGTCATGTCAAGATTAAGCGATTACTGGATCTCATTTTTTGTTTTTAAAAAACTTATTTCGTAAATTTTTCTTTCTGGGAGAGTGCTATAACGGGAATGGTATAATGTTACTATTGTCAAAGAACTTCATTCAGCATTAGCAGCGAAACTGAATTCGTTTTTTTTTTTCATTCTTCTCGTTTGCTTTTACTTATTAAATTATTTGATGTGCAGTTAACTTGCTACCTTATACGGTTAGTTCGACAAGCTGCAATGTAACTTAAATTCAGTCATTACTTTAACCACATAACTGCTTGTAGGAACGGTGGTGTAACCTTTGTCGTGGGTACAAGTGACTTTCAGAAGGTGGTTCCTGTAAATTTTTTGGCGTTGGGACTTGAAACTTGCTGCGTACCTTCAAATAGCCATTTTAAAAAGCCATCGTTTCCAGCAGATTGAGTTGTAAGTTGATACCCTGCTAAATAAAATTTTCTAAAGGTGATATTAATGCTCTGGTTAGTGCAGGAGTAACAGTATCGCTAATCGGCAGGAGGGCTGAAAGTCGTTTATGTGAAGTTGCAATCATAATTATTTAAGTTACTTGTTTTTTGTATAGTACACAGATTGTTGTAAGTTGTTTTATCCACATATTTCTCTTTAAACGTCTTGTTTTTCAGTTAAATGATGGAAGAGGCTGACCAGACAACTTCCTCGTTCAACGCTATGGGAATACGTGAGCGCTTCCTTGCAGCTGTTGAGGTAAGTTAACTTGCACAGTTTTGGGTTCTTGTTATTGAGTTTTTTAGAACACATTTTTTTTATGCTTGGAGATTATTTTGCAAATTCTTTTAAGCGGGCGCGTGCTCAAGACTTCACTAACCTGGTCGAGGAGTTACAAATAATTCACGAGCTAAGTAAGATTATTTCTTTTTTAAATTAATAACTGCTTCTAACAACTGTGCCTGTAGGTTTACGAAGAAAAAACCAGGTTATTTTGCGAAATAAACGATATACCTTCATTCTTGACCGTTAATTAATGGCTTAATTTAGCTCTGAAATTCAAACTGAACTTTGGAAAAAAATTCTTTTTCAGCATTGCTTAAAAACAAAACATTTATATCAGGCCTAGTTCTTTATTGATGTGTAACTTCCTCTGCTCTGTTGACTGTTTTTTCTTTTTATAAAATTATGGCAAGGCTCTTTTTACGTTTTTTTCCTCAAGCTTCTAATCCTCCACGATTTTTTCAGCTTCTCTGAGGGATCGGCCAGACACAATAGTGGTTGTTGATGAGGATGAACCCTCAAACTCACCATCTGTATTATCACAATCAAGGCATCGATCAACACCTAGAAGTACAAGCGTTACTCCTACCGGTATTTTAAGTTTTGTTTTTATATATTAGTCACGAACTTGTTATGCTTAAAGCTTAAAAACAAGGTTTTTGAAGTATGACTTTGAAAACGTGTTTTTTCAAAATTTTATTTACTTCTTTATTTTTTTATTTACCTTTCATTGTAACTTTCCTTCTTTTGTTCAAGCTTCATTTTTCACAATTTTGTGTGGCTTATGAGTTATCCTTGATTGTGGTCGTGAAGAAATGACTTGGAGGTATTTGAAACCTCCATGATTTCAGAATTCTCATTCTCTATTAGAGTTTGTTGAAGTACAGTAAGTTGATAGATTTACATTTATTATTTCAATTTTTTGATTTAGGAGATGATACAAGTAATAATGAAACTGATGCACCATCTCCTGACGGACCTCGAGAAAGACCTGAGTTTACCAGGCTTTCAGCCCGTCAGAGACAGGAGTTTCCAAGATTACAACAAGTAAGTTTTTTTTTTGAGAAAGAAAGACTGTTGTAGTAAGAGGTACTGAAATTTTTGCAGAATTTCTAAGCCACTGCTTAATTCTTTACCTTACAATTGTGGCATAAAGGTTGGTGATCTTGTTTAATAAAAGCAGTTTTTTTAGGTATGGTTTATTCTAACGAGGGTGTTTCCATTTGTGCTTATCCTGTTTTGTAAATTTCTAATTGAAAACTTATTAGTCCTGTCTAACATTACCTTCGCCTTTGTTCTGTTCTACTTTTCAAACAGTTTTCTGCTTTCATCGTTAAGGTATTTTAGTCTTTCCTGTTTTTAATCCTTTGTTTGTTTCGTTGCTGGAGAACATTATTTGGAGCTGGTATTATATCAGTTTAGTGGTATTTTTGTTATGCAAATCATTGATTTTTATTAGTAACTTATTAGCTGGAAGGATCTTTACTCTCTTCAACTTTGAATTGCTCTACTTAAAGTTAATTTCTATTTTAGGATAAATAAGTACAGTAATCTTGCCAAAGCCACCATGTGTACAGTTGCCTATCTCTGCTTGCAATTCTTCCTTTTTGGTTAGAATGCTTGTTTTTTTGATTCTAGTAAATGCTCTTGCTTTTTTTAAAGCATTTGCCTTTGTAAAGCCAAGTTTATTAATATATCAGAACATATTAACAAACCGTTTGATTTTTGACTTAATTTCACAAGGTTTTGCTTCTAGTTATTCTTTAAAAAGCGTTTTTTAACTTTCAGAAAGCAAAATTTTGCTCTGAAAGTTTCGTTTACCATAAAATTATAGTGGACGCAAGTAGAAAAAGATGTTTTTTTTGAGCATGGTTGTGGAATTATGAATACAATTTATCTCTTTGCAACGAGTTTTGGGATTCATTGATTTTTTTATCGGCATGACTAAATACATGCAGGAGAATGGTTAATCTTTATCTTTTATGAAAAGCTCGAAAGTAGCATTAGAAGTAAAGCTGCAGAAAGATGTATATTAGATTTTTTACTACTGAATTTTTGCACGATGGATTTTGTTTCGAAATAAAGTATAACATTACTAGTTGGAAGCGTCAATGGGCTACGAGTTATGAAGCAGAGAGTGAAATGAAGTAATAAGTTTCTTCCAGTTTTTGAGGATCTTTATTTTGGGTGCTAATATTTGTATAAAAGGATGCAAAATTTTAAGTTTTCTAAGGAAACGTTTCAGGCAGTTCCGAATAAACAAATTACATTTATTTATTAAAAGAAGTTGAGAATTGGTGAAAAAATGAGGATTTATGCATTTTTACTTAGTTGTTTTATTTTTTATTCTTTGTTTTCACAGACAATCTTGAAAATATTTGATTTTCCCGGAGTTGAGAATTTTGCTGTTTTTCGCAAATTACTTTTTTTTGCTTCTATTTGCAGCTTTGTTTTTTTCTCTCAAATGTGGGAATTTAATCTTTTCTTTGTGAATTTTCTGTAAGAAAAAGCACTTAAAAAAGAAACAGATTGATATTATTGCAGTCGAAAATGAACAAGGTTGCAAGTTCTTAGACGTAGCCTTGGAGAATAGAAGTTTGGCTTTCCCATACCTCAGGCTGCCTAATACTAAATTAAGCATATTTTTAAAACTAAAAACTTTATTGTTTTTCTTTTTTTTGATCTGGTGACCAGTTCATGGCATATTGCGCATCAGGGTCGTCAGTGAAACAGCGTTGGGTTCAACGCAGAAGAACAGTACAGCTTTATCTTGCACATTTTAATTTATGTTTTTCATAAAGTTACTTTTGGGGAAGTACTCTAGTAGCATTTAAAACTTTTTGCAGATTATTCTGCTTCATTGCTTTTTTCACTTACGACTTTCGCTGGCATCGCTAGATAGTCATGATTTGCCTGCTTTAATATAACTTTGTTGGGTTTTCTATATTTAACTCTAGTTTAATTTTGTTTTTATCCCTGCTTACTTTTTATAATACTTTTTTGATAAATAATGTATTACAGATTTTAGGCTCAGATATTTGCTAAACATCGATTATTTTTTATAGGTGTTGGGACAGTTTTCAACGTCTTGTCTTTCAAAACTGACCCCGTCTTAGAGAAAACATTTTTTATGACATTTTGTGCTGTACTTATCGCTCATCTTTTTATAAAAGTCGTCTCTATCCAAGTTAAAATTCTGGTCAGTTGTTATTTTTGTTGCATCATTCTTTGTGATTGCGTTGAAAGTAAGTTGTTTTATTGGTGACTTGATTTGCTAGTGAAGAAATTTTGTTTAGGTTGCAGCCTTTCCGTCTTGCCTTGTTGCAAGTAAACGCCAGCGTCGGTTTTTTCAGTGGCTGGAGTACAGTTCGCAAGTTTATCAATACAGTACAGTTATCCCCCAGTGGTGTTGCTTTTTTATATATGCTGGAGATAGCAATATAACACGATACAGTGGTTACTGTTTTGCGTTTGTGTATGTGCTGTTTAAGGTGACTGTTTGTTATTCATTTTGTTTACTGGTTTTTTTATTTTCCTACTGATGAAGCTTCAGTAGTTCCGGTTCTGTGTTATCTTGGTTCATTTATCGACATTAACACTTTTAGTGAATTCCTCTGTCTTTTAATCCTTTCTTGATTGTTAAGTCGTTATTAAGCCTACATTTTATAAATTTTTATTGTGATAAGCCTGCCGTTTTTTTACTATCTTTTGTATACTTTTAGAGATCTCTAACACCTATATTTTTAGGCGTTTTGTTTCATTGAACTGGGAAAATGCTGGCTTAACAGCACACGTTACGTTCATCGCCTTGTTTCGGTTGGGACTAAACCTAGCCCTGCAGACATTGATTATCAACAGCGGTGCGCCATCTGTTTTGCTAATTATGATACTCCGATAGAAGTTTGTTTTTTTATTGAATTTTATGTTGTGCTGTTGTTAAAAGTTTACTGTTTGCTAATTGCTTACCACTTATAGAAAAGAATTAGAGATAGAGAGATGGCAGGAGAAATTAAAAATTCAACAAAGATTTATGGGGTATGGATGAATAAGTTTTTGAGATATGGGTAGATAAAGTTTCGAAGTCTGAGTGCGCAAAATGAATTTCTTTTGCTGAATAACAGTTTCTTAAAGCTCCTTGCTTGTAGTTTATCTTTCACACAAATTCCTTCCTTATTGTGGCTTTTGTTTTATAGCGCTGTGAACTTATTGTAGATACAGTGGGACTGCCTTAGGTTTCAAATGATTTAACTGCGCACATTAAGTCCAGATATCTGAAGTAGTCTTATATCGTTTGTCGTGGAATTGGGAAGCTTTCACTTGAAAGTGTGGATGATAAGTTTTCTGATTTCTTAATTGTTTGGCGAGGGAACTCTGGGATAAAGTTTAAGGGCCGTCTTTTACCATACTAAGTTACGGGTCAACAACTGGAAGAAAAAGAAGAAAAGTGGGCACTGGTAGTTGCTCCAAATCTTTTGTTTTAGTGAATGGTTAGACACAGAAAGTGTTTTAACACCGACTGTATTTGGTTGTTGTTATCGCTTTGGTTTACCATTTTTCGACTACCTGAAAAATTATCCTGATAGAGCAGTTAAACATGAAGCTGAGTACTAAGTAAATTTGGGTATGTTAGAATATGATGGGTCAAATTTGAGTGAAATTTAGCATCACTAAAATTGCTTTTTGCACGGCAGAAAAATTGATATTGTTTGTTCCCCACTTAGTTTTAAGATCTTTAGTAATAATGAAGATAAGTTCTTCGTGTCAGCCGAATGTATTTACGGTGATTCAAACAATTCCTGGGACTTTATACATCTCTTTTAAAAAGCTTTTGTTTTTCAGTTATCTTGTCGACATATCTTTTGTGAAGAATGTATCAGCACTTGGCTGGACAAGGAGCATAGTTGCCCACTTTGTAGGGCTATTGTTACAAAGGAAGACAATTTTTGGAAAAGCGGGGACACTTGTTTATTACCCCAGGTATTCTAGTAATGGAAAGCGATTCTCGTAATATAATTCGGGTCTTTTTTTTATTCATAATTTTTGAAGCCACTATTTTGTATAGTTTATTTACATTGTTGAACCATTAACATTTTTTGAAACTTGTTTGCTGTAAAGAAATAGTGTCACAAAGTGGTTGATTTGATCGTCAGCATTTTCTCACTGAGAAAACTTCTCAGTTTTTAAAGTATCTATTTCTTTTTTATCAGTTTCACCAGTTTTTTGAAACTTTAGTTTCATGCTTCATTCGATACTGGAATGAAGTTCATCAACTTCGTAGTAGTAATCTTTTGTTTTAAGATTGCTTAGCATTTTATGCTCCAAAATTTTCATTTTAGTGTTCTGAAAATAATTTATTTATTTATTTTTTTGCTGTTCTCTGCTCTAATTCTTTGTCGTTACTGTCAGTGTTCAAGGCGGCTTTATCTTGGCTTTCAAATTTCTGTATTTTTGTTTCTCTTTTCTCTGTAATAAATTCACTGTTGTTCTTGAAAGTTACGCAGTCAAGTTTTATATTGGGAGAAAAATTTTTCTTTTGAATAAGTTTGAGAACAAAAATAAAGTGGTCTTGACTCTTTCAGTCTTATTACCGAAGCGCCTACAACACCAGGGAGTTTTGGAAAATCAGCTAGATTTTAAAACGTCTGTTTTTTTTCATTGTAATATTCATGTCCTTGATTCTTTATATGTGGATGTCATCCTTCTATTCATGCTAGTACTGGGATCCGTCTTGCTATTGGTGAGGATGGACTTATCTATGCTTTTACTTTCATATTGACCAACTGCTTTCCTCTATAATTTTTTAGTGGATATGAAATTTAATCTGTTGTCGTGAACTGTCTTAATCTCGGTAAACTGGGTTCTTATTGTGTTTTGTTGAGAAAATGGCCGTGCATTATTTTCAGGAGAAAGGCACTATTTTTTAGGGTTTATCCTGATAAGAAAGGATTCTAAGACTTTTGTCGCTGTGAGCTTTCGTGACACGCAGCTTTTATTTTTGTTTTATGGGAATTTATTAATTTGCTTTCGAATATTTAACATTATAAAGTCTGGAACAATAGATCAGTTTTAGAACGGTTAAACAGAAATTGAAGAGAAGCTATAAGCACACGATTAATGTTTCTGTAATGGAATCTTCATATAACGGCAATTGTTAGACCTTGAATAGAGTTATTTGGGTTTGAAAAATGAAATAAGGTTGGTAAGTTTGACAGTAACTTTGAGAAGCATGATGGACTGTGCGGTTTTAGTGATTTCTAGCAGAACGAGTTTCTCTGCGAAACCAATCTTGAAGAAC